GGGGGCCCTATTCCAACCTCGGGTCCCGTGAGGGGCCCGTGTGTAGGCTTTCAACATGTAACACGCCCCCCTCCTTATGAAGACGAGCCGGGGCGCGGGCGAAGCTGCCGATCCAATGGCGGAATGTAGCGAGGAAGGCGAGGAGCTGGAGTGCTCGGCGTAGTCTTCCCTTTGCTAAGATAACGTGAGAGAACGGCGGGAGTTGTGGCCTGCAGTTCCAAACGCGTCAACCAACGGTCAGCCTTGTGGCTGCAGTAGGAAAAGCGAAGTAGAAACTCTGTTTCTTTGTTGCCATGGCGCCGGCCGGTGATGATGTAGCCGGCCTCCTGAAATCCGTCCATGGAAGGAGGGTCTTGCGTACGTCGACCGGGAAACTAGTCGGACTCCGCTGAGACAGAAGGAGCGAGTTTGGAACAGTGGAACACCGTGTGGACGGGCAAGTGAGGTGGCACCGCGATGCGGAATGAAGGCCTCTCGGAATCATCACCAACTGCAGAGAGAATGCGCCAGGGCCCCATCCACTTGGGAAGGAGCTTGCGAGAGATGTCTTGCTCAAGGCTGAACTCCGTGGCGGAGACCCAAACCAGATCGTCGGCGCAGAACGGGCAAGGAAGGCAATTGTGGTTGGCTTGACGACTCATCCGTATTTGCGTCTTCGACATCTGATCCCGTGCCTTGACAAGAAGCTCTTGCATGCGACGAAGGAACGCAAGATGGTCGTCGCTCTCGACTGTGCGCGGCAAAGTGGCGTCCAATGGCGATGAGATGGGTGAACCATGCTCAAACTCGAATGGCGACATCCCGATAGTCGGATGGATCGATGAGTTGTAAGCCAACTCAACGTCTGGCAAGTGCATACCCAATCAACCTGGTCGGGACGGATGAGCGTGCGTAGAAGGACTTGAGCGGTTTGATGCGCCCTTTCCGTTTGACCATCGGTTTGCGGGTGGCGAGCCGAACTCGGCTTCAAAGATGAGCCCCATCGCTTGACGAGGGCGAGCCAAAAGTCGGAGAGAAAGCGAGTGTCCCGGTCGCAAACGATCTCCTTGGGGTAGCCCTTGGAGCGAATCCAACTAGTGTATAAGACCCCGGCTAACTCCGGTGCCTTTGCGTGATAGCGGCAAGGCAAAAACATGGCGTACTTGGTGAGGCGGTCGACGACCGTGAGGATCCCATCAACGCCGGTCTTGTGCTTCGGGAAGGGGCCGGTGATATCCATAGCAATCGCTTCCCGTCGCCCAAGGGGAACTGGTAGTGTGTGTAGCTCGCCAAACGGACGATGGTTGCGTGACTTGCAACGCCGACAGACTACGCACGACTCGCAATAGCGGGTGGCGTCCTTGAGAAGGTCGGGCCAATAGAACCGCTGGCGAAGTCGGCCAAGTGTACGGTTGACACCAAAATGTCCGGAGGCGGGCGCATCGTGAAACTCGCCAAGAAGCCGTGTGCGCAAGTGTGAATCACTCGGCACACAAAGAAGATCCTTACCCCGTGAATGCACAAGTAAGTAGCCCTCTTGGATCCGATAATGCGAAGGCACCGGCTTCGGAGAGGAGCGATTTGCGTACTTGTCGCGAAAGTGGGGGTCGGCTTGATAGCCGCGGATGAAGCTCTCCCGCAGGTCGTCGTCGATCTCGAAGGTAGAGTAGACTGCGGTGCAAAGATCCGGTCGCCGTGAGAGGGCGTCCGCAAAACGGTTTGACTCTCGGGAATGTGATCGGGGAAAAAGTCAAACTGGTCGATGAAAGTCATCCATCGGGCAATGGTAGTGTTAATCGTGTCTTGCGACTTGTAGAATACCAGCGGATTGTTATCCGTTACCCATTGAAATGCTTTCCGACCAAGGAGAAAATGTCGCCAACGCTTGAGGGCGTGGACGAAGGCAAGAAGCTCCTTCTTCCGTGCGTCGTCGATCAAATGCACGGGAGGTACTTTCTTGCTGAAGTACTCGACCAGGTGCCAGTCCGTGCCATCGTGCTGCTCAAGGACGGCCCCAATGCCATAGCCCGACGCATCGGTAGTGACGCGCGTAGCTAGAAGTGGGTCGTAAACATGTAACACCTCGACGGACAAGAGTGCCGCTTTGAGTGTTTCAAAAGAATGACGCGCGTCGTCGTCGAAGTCAAAAGGCCGCTCCTCGCTTTGTAACTTGCTTAGGTTGGCCGTGATCTTTGAGTAACCCTTGATGAAGCGCTGATAATAATCGGCCAAGCCGAGGAAGGATCGGACGTCCGTCACATTCTTCGGCTCGGGCCACTCCTAGATGGCTTGAATCTTGTCCGCCAACGGAYGAATGCCTTCCGGAGAGACAAAATGACCCAAGTATTCAAGCTCTTGCCGGACAAACTCACATTTGTCGCGGTTAGCTTTGTACCGGGCTGACCGAAGAGTCTCTAGAACACGGCGAAGGTGCTTGAGATGCTCCTCTAGAATTCGGCTATAGACGAGGATGTCGTCCAATTAGACCAAGACGAAGCGGTCCAGCATAGCGTGAAACTCGGTGGTCATGGCCGCCTGAAAGGTGGTCGGGGCATTGGTGAGGCCAAAAGGCATAACTACCCACTCAAAATGCCCATATCGCGTCTTAAACGCGGTTTTGTACCGATCTTGCGAGCGGATGGAAATCTGATGGTAGCCCGACTTGAGGTCCAACTTGGAAAAGTACTTGGCCCCGCCGAACCACTCAAGCAAATCGTCAATGCGAGGTAGAGGCCCCGCGTTCTTGATGGTTTGCGCGTTGAGGCGTCGGTAGTCAATGCAAAGTCGAAGGTCCTTGTTCTTCTTCCGAACGAACCGAACGGGCGCACCGTAAGGTGAGCTGCTAGGGCGGATCCAACCCTTGTCAAGTAGATCGTCGAGTTGCGCACGGAGAACCGTGAGCTCCTCCTCGGACATGCGATAAATGCATCCCTTCAGTGGCACGGCGCCGGCCTCAAGTATGATCTCGTGAGAGATTGGCCGGTCCGGCACTATACCGGAGGGTGTCTCAAAAACATCCGAGAACTCGTCAAACAACCGGGTCACACGGGGGTCGAAAGACACATCCGTGGACGATGAATCGGTCGTCGGGGCGGTTCGAAGAAAAGCGATGCCAATCTCTTCGACATGCTCGGAACGGCATGTGTCTCGAAAAGATTTGGCACTCACGACTTGGCACCGAATGGAAGAGCGAGGAGGAGGAATAGTACACGGGACCTCGGCGCCAGTTGCATCACGAATCGTGAGCGTGCGTCGATGGAAATTGACCGTGTGGTCCGCGCTAGAAAGCCATGGCATCCCCAAAATGACATCGAAGTCGGTGTCCAATACGTCAAAAGTAACGGGTTCACATGCGTGTGGTGCAAAGTACACCGGGACAGCCCAGATGTAATGGTCTAAAAGTTGTTTCGTCTTACCATCGGCAAGAGCGACCGTCGTCAGATGTGACTTCCTCCGTACTTGTGCGCCAAGGCCAGCCCGAGTCATGAAGGACTGGCTGATGAAGTTGCGAGTTGCGCCGCAATCTAGCAAAGCGTTGCAGGCGGCTTGCCCAATCTGAATGCGAACGTAGAGCAACGGTGCGTTGTTTTCTTCGTACCGTTGCGAGACAAACTCGCGGGCCACCTTGGCAACATAGCCAAGCATGTCCCCCACCGCGACTTCGTCTACCATCGACGAAGTTGGTGGTGCATGGAAGGAAAGATACTCGTGTAAGAGGGCGCATAGTGCTGCGCTTTGCGGCCCCGGAAGGTTGCCCGTCGTAGGGGGATGAATCCAAGCGAAGTCCTCGGGCGTGAGCGGGTCCAAGACCTCCTCGTTGAACACGCTTGCCGAATCCCTTGATGAAGACGAAGTGGCGGAGTAACCTCCGGACGATGAGAAAGCCGCACATGTACCTTGTCATTGAGAAGCATCCAGTGAAGGAACGAGCCGGGCAGCGAAGTCTTCGAACGAAAGTGGAAGACTCCCGACATCCGCATATGCCTTGGAAGAAAGGGCGGTCGTGCGCACAACCGCTTCCGATGGCGTCGAGGGAGGTGTCGAGTCACCCTCGGCGGCGCCTACTTTCCCTGACGGGGTTTCCCCTTGGTGGGGCAATGTGCAGCATCGTGGATGGTGCTGTTGCACCAAAGGCAGTAACGGTACTTGAGTCTCGTGCGATAAGAATTCGCCGAGAGTCCGTATTGTGCCCAAGGTTCGTCGACGGCTGATCCGGTGCTCGGTGTAGAGGTGGACTCAGTCTTCGTCTTGTCACGGCCGTGGTTGTTGCGCGGCCGGCCACCATCCCAGGAAGCTGCCAACACTTCACCCTCGTTTGGTGTTGCAGCCTCGGTAGAAGTAATGCAAGCCACCTTTGGCTTGGGCTGGGTGCCGCTCGTCGTCGCGGAAGATCGGCCGGCGTTGCGAGCTTCGATATTCGTGAGAATGATCCGTGACGCTGTGCTGAAAAGCTTGTCAGATGTGTCGAGTGTCTCTGCAATCTGCGTCAGCGCGTTTTGCAGAGCTGGACACGAGCGCATGATAAACAAGTGCTTGATGGCGCGGAATGCGAGGGGCAGGTCAGGTGTGGAGGCGAGTCTTTGGAACTCGGTAATCCAGTCCTGACTGAGCAGCGTGTTCTGATGGAGCTTGTTGAGCTTGTCCATCGCTTGCAGGTCGGGCGGATCCACTTGGAATCGCTTGTGCCAGGCGTCAGTCAACTCCTGCCAAGTGAGCTTGGTGTGCAGTTCCGACACTGCTACACCGTGGCTGGTCAAGATGTTGTCCAACCATGCTTGACATGCACCACCAGATCGGTGGTACAAGCACGGATGTCGATCGTTGTTCGGGACATGGTGCATGTCGAGCCTGAGAGTAAACTGGCGCCACCACGGGATCGGTTCCGTCTTGGACTGATCGCAGAAAACTGGAATGTCATCCAGTTTGGGTGGGCGCCTGGAGGATGCGGCGGC